AGAGAGAGAGAGAGAGGTGCCTTTATGTACTAGTATATTCGAATTTGGTGATGCGAAAAGGTGTAACGGATAGGTGAAAAACAAATTTTTTTTTCTTTGTTTTTTTTTTTTCACCTTTGTGCTTGTCCTTCTTTTTTTTCATATATTAAATATGTCCTTACTGACAGGTGACAGCAAAAAAAAAAAAAAAGCAGCAAGTAGTAGTCACGCTACTCATATGTAGGTAATGTGATAATATATATATATATTTATATATTTATATATACATTTGTATGGATGGAAATGGAAAAGAACAACAACAAAAAAAAAGAACGTTTTTTTCATGTACCTAAATGATTTTTCCAAGTAAAATGATAATGATATTTGTTTTTATTTTATTTTTTATTGATTTTTTTTTTTTTTTCCTTTTCCATTTTTTTTTTTTTCTCTTTCACTTTTGGGTGAACGGCAAAAAGATTATACGAAATAAGACACACAAGGACTTCTAACACCAAGTTCAAGTAAAATGACCCCTGAAAAAACAATCAAGGAAAGCAAAAAAGTTGATTTCAATGAACAAGCACTACTAAAGGAATTCCCAACATTTCACTTGATTCCTCAATCCGAACAATTAAGATTTCTCTTCACTATTATTCGCGATAAGAACACATCACGAACAGACTTTGTATTTTACAGTCAACGTATTATCCGTTTGGTGGTGGAGGCTGGACTTGAACTTATTCCCATGTGTGAGAAGGATGTGATAACGCCTACTGGACACACATACCATGGATGCGTTCCCGATAAGGATGGCATTATTGGCATCAGTATTCTTCGCGCAGGTGAATCCATGGAACCCGCCCTGCGGGAAACATGCCGTGGTATTCGAATTGGGAAAATTTTAATTCAAAGAGATGAAACCACGGAGGATAAGAGACCAGATGAACGTTATAATTATACAAAGATTCCAAAGGATGTTGCCAGTCGTCATGTATTACTTCTTGATCCGATGATTGCCTCAGGAGGTAGTGCCATTCGTGCCACTGAGATTCTTGTGCGGGACCACGGAGTGCCAGAGGAGAAGATTATCTTTTTGAATCTCATCACATGTCCAGAAGGGATTCGTCGATATATGCAAAAGTTTCCAGGAGTTCAGGTTGTCACTGCAGCTATTGATGAGACACTTAACGCAGATAAATATATCTGCCCTGGTCTTGGTGATTTTGGTGATCGCTTCTTTGGCACTCACGAATAAGTCCTTGGTAAAAGGGAAAGAAAATAGACCAATAACAACAACAAAAAAAAAAACTCCAATCATTACTAGTGCAATGGTCAAGGGATTGTTTTCTGGTTTCCTTCTTCTTCTTCTTCTTTCCTTTTATGAGAGTGTGCTTCCCCCTTATGATGTTGATAGGCTGTGAATTGAATCTGTATGGCCTTATGAGAATATGACTAGTCGTCGTTGTTTCTAGGCCTGCCTGTGCATACAACAAAAAATAAGTCAGAAAGTAATTATTATAATAATAAGGCACATTTTTATTTCCCTCCTAGTATAAATATATTAATTTGTTTTGAAGTTATGCTCTCTTTACTTTACCTCCTCTGGGTTGATAAGTCAAATTCCCGTTTTTTTTTTTTTTTTTTTTTTTATGAATCTGGTAAGGTGGTGGAGAGAAGCTGAACAGTGGAAATGATTCAAATGCAAATTACTATATTATTACAAGAGTCAATAGTGAAGTGGATTAAACTTCATTTAGGAACTTGGTATAGTTGGGATATATATATATATATGTATACATACGGGTTTAATGTATTTTCAGTATGTTCCATGAGATAATAATAGAAACAAACAAGCAAAAAAGGGAAAAGGGAGATCCGTAAATGAGGCTTCACATGTTGGAAATCATGCTGCTATTTATATGTGGGGTTGTTTGTTTTCTCGTTTTTGCCCTTTTTTTTTTTTTGTTTTTTCCTGCTGGTGGTGGGGAAGGGCATTTCGTCTATATTGTTCTTTTTCTTCTGTTGTTATTTATATATCCATATATTATATATATATATATATATATGTGTGTATATGTTTTTTTTTTCTGTTGTTGTTGTTGTTTTTTGTCAATGAATCTATATATATATATATATATTATAATTAATGTATAGAACGTTGATTATTGTTTTTTCTTTCTTTAGAAGTATAGAAATGAGCACTGTGGACGCCGAAACGGCAGCGCAAGCCAAAATGCGACGAGAGGCAAATGCGAATCTCGGCCCGTGGCGAAATGTCCTGCTGGCACTATCAAAGGAGTTGCCCCTTCACTATAGTACGATGCCGGTAGAAGGAGTTTTGGCCTGTTTGCGAGAGAAGAAGGATCCACGCGTGATAACAATGCTGGATACACTAAAACAAGAATTAGGAGATGGAGTGTGTGATACAAATGAAGAAGAAGCAGAAAAATGGAAAAATAAAGGAATGGAAGCTTATAAAAATGGAAAATTAGAAGAAAGTGTACTTATGTTTACTCGTGGAATGATGTATGCTAAAGAGGATGTAACGTTAGAAATGCTTATTTATAATCGAAGTACAAGTTTCTTTGCACAACAACGTATATTGGAAGCACTTATAGATGCTCATACTGTTATGATAATGAGATCCAATAATTGGGAAGCTCTACAACAACGTGGAATGTGTTTAAAAAAATTAGGATTTGAAGAAGAAGGTACAAAAGATATGGAAGCTGCAGCTAATAAAGATATAGAATCTGCAAATGGTAAAGAAGTTTTGGCCAAAATTCTTCAATCTGATACTCTTATTGATAGTAATGGTAAAAATATTCATGATGGTAGTTTATTATTTATACCTGGGGAAACTAATACTAGTATTCCTATTTCCATTGAAAGTATTTCTGGAGTAAATGAAAAAGGTGTAGTATCGAAAACGCGTATAGAGAGTGGTGAAATTCTGCGAGAAACACCCATTGCACATGCTTTATATGATGATCACTGGGGAATTAGATGTTGTTATTGTTTTCGAGTCACTCGAGTTTTATATCCAGGAATAACGTATAGAAAAAGAGGAAAAATATCACGAGGATTATTTTGTAGTGAATCTTGTGCAAATACTAGTTGGGAACGATATGGACAATATGAAACACATAATCCATTTTTTCAAATATGTCCTATAGATGCGTTATTGGCATCTCGTATGCTTCGTATGGAAAATAAAAAAAATGTTGATATTCATTCTCTTCGTGGAGATTTTTCAGGAGAACTTCAACCCGCTGCTGTGATTGGAGGATTTGAAACGGTAGTGAGTCTCATTGGATTAGTATTAGGAGCACTAACTCCAGAAGAAGCGAATCGTCTTCGTTTGACTCAACGTCAAGTTATTCTTTCTGGATTGGATGTAAGATTTTTTACAGGTTCTCAAATTACAATAAATACAGAAACGGGTGAAGCTTTCATGGATGATTCTAAACCTATATTAGTAGGAAAAGGTATTTATATAATGACAAGTCATTTTCGTCATTCTTGTGATCCCAATTGTTTTTTATCTTTTGTTGGAAATCCATTGGATTGTTCCTTATCTCTTACTATTCGTGCCATTAAATCTATTGGAAATGGAGAAGAATTAACAATTGCTTATCATAATATGACAACTTATAAAGCCGTGAGTGCACTAACACGTCAACGTGCTCTTGTGGAAAGATGTGGTTTTATTTGTCATTGTTCTGCTTGTATGGATAATAAAGATGAACGTGTTTCTTTAGAAAAAAAAGAATATTATATTAAAGCTGCGGATTTATATCAAAAAGGTTGTCGTTTAATACGTGAAGGTCAATATGAAGTTGCGGCTACAGTTCTTTCACAGAGTTACAACATCGCCATGGAACATTTATGTCCACCACCAAGACCTCCACAATCTATGATTCCAAAAACACATATGGCTCTTGCAAAGGCATTTAATCATTTAAAAAATAATGTAAAATGTGCAGAACATCTTGAGGCTAAAGTGGAAGCAGAAAAAACTCTTTATGGGGAAAATCATGTGGAGTTTATTGATGATTTTATTCGTTTGGCATTTTTTGAGCCTACAGAAGAAAAGAGAAGAATGTATGCAGAAAAAGGAGTAGAGTTATTACAACGTTTTTACGCACCTTCAAAAGAAATGAATACTGTAATAACTCGTATACAGTCGTTTGTAGTGCGAAAACATTGTTGATAATAAAGACTTCTTAAAAAAAAAAAAAAACAATAATAATAATAATACTATACCTTGATTGATTAGATGTTATTACTATTATTAATAATAATAATTATTTATTGTTATTATTTCGAGCGTCATAAAAAAAAAAAAAGAGTTAAACTGACAATTTGTTACATATATGGACAGTATAAAATAAATTAAATAATAATAAATAAATAAACAGTCTATCTTGAAGTTATTTTTCATTCCTCTTGCTCTTCTTTTTATTATTGTTGCTCTTTTTTTTTTTTTGATTTCTTTCTTTCTTTCTTCGTGTTGATATTAAGATAGTAAGACAGAGAGAGAGAGAGAGAGAGAGAGATAGTGTGTTTGTGTTTGTCTGTGTATATATACATATATATAAAAGAAGAAGAAAAAAAAAGGGTTTCTGAATGTTTCGCCCTTTGCGATGTGTTGGTATTATCTCTCCTTTCGTTGTGCCGCTGCGGGCGCAGATGCAATTCTGTGCGACCGGCGGCGATAGTGGGCCGGGGCGTGGCGGTGAAAATAAACCAGAAACGAATGAAAAGAATAAAAATGAAAATTCAGGAGAAAAGTCATCTCCATCTTCACCTAATAATAATAATAATAATAATAATAATAGTAAACCTTCAACAAATAATTTATTATCTGAAAAACGTCATCCAAAAGGGTTTGATGCTTTTTACTCTAGATATATTTTAGGAAAAATGACTTTTACTCGTATTCCTACAGAATCTGTTAATCGTGCTTATGCCATGTCACCAGATGAACGTATTTTAACAGCTCAAATAGCCGCTAAAACTTTAAAATGGAAACGTATGCGTCTTCTTGGAATTATGTGTTTTTTACTTTCAGGAGTCATTATGGCAAGAATTTATACAGCCAATTCTTATATTAAAGGTAATATTGAAAATTATACAACGGTTATTGTGGATTTGGCAAAACATACCGCAGCTTTTCTTAATGAAAAAGGTGAATTTATAGGAGTAAGAAGTTTTGTGGATTACAGAACATTTGAATCTGAATGTGATAAAGATAAAGATATTCTTGTTTTATTTCATACCTATTATCCATGGGTTCCTATGTTATTATTATGCCTTTTACCACTTTTAGCTATGACAAATTCAGCTTTTAGTGGTTCTGCTAAATTAGCATCTGTAGCAGCAGAGAAGAGTCGATTTAATTTTAAACGAGAATTTTCTATTTCTACACGTCTTGGAGATGTAGCAGGATTAACAGAAGCAAAACATGAAGTTATTGAAATTATTGATTTTTTAAAAAATCCTGCTCGTTATCAAGTTCTTGGAGCTAAATTACCTAAAGGTGTACTTCTTGATGGTCCACCTGGAGTTGGTAAAACATTACTTGCCAAAGCTGTAGCAGGAGAAGCTATGGTACCTTTTCTTAGTTGTACTGGAAGTGAATTTGAAGAAGTTTATGTTGGAGTTGGAGCTCAAAGAGTTCGAGAACTTTTTAAACAAGCTCATGAATGTAAACCTTGTGTTGTTTTTGTAGATGAAATTGATTCTTTTGGTAGAAAAAGAAAATCTGAATCTGGTGGAGGAAGTTCTCGAGGTACATTAAATGCTTTTCTTTCAGAATTAGATGGTTTTAAAGATGCTACTGGAATTATGATATTAGCAGCTACAAATCGAGCAGATATATTGGATAATGCTTTAACAAGGTCAGGACGTTTTGATAGAAAAATAACTTTAGAAAAACCTTCACATAAAGATCGAGTTGCTATAGCAGAATTACATTTAAAACCATTAAAACTTGAACCTTCAAGTAGTTTAAATGGTTATGCAGAAGCAGTTGCTGCTCTTACTCCAGGATGTAGCGGTGCAGATATATTTAATATTTGTAATGAAGCTGCTATTCAAGCTGCAAGAGAAGAAAAAGATTTTGTTTCACATCGTCATTTTCATCAAGCAGTAGAAAGAGTTTTAGTAGGATTAGAAAGGAGTGCTGTAAAATTAAATGAAAATGAAAGAGAACGTATTGCTTTTCATGAAGCAGGTATAGTTATTCTTCATTGGTTTCAAGAAAAAACAGATCCAGTTATTAAAACTACTATTCTTCCAAGAGGACGTCATCGAACTGGAGTAACTCAAAAATTACCACAAACAGCATTTATTTCTACTCAAGAACAATTAATGCAAAATTTAGTTGCAAAATTGGGAGGATATGTATCTGAAGAATATTTTTTTCAAGATGTTTCTTCTTCTGCTGCAGAAGATTTAAAAACTGCTACAGATAGAGCTAGATTTTATGTTTGTAGTTATGGAATGGATCCAGAAAATATAGGTCATTTTGGATATGATTTAAGTGATTCTAATAGTATTCAAAAACCTTTTGGTCCAATAAAAGAAGATGCTGTTGATGAATCTGTTCTTCAACTTATAACTGTTGCATTAGAAAATGCACGTTTAATTTTGGGACAACATATTGAAAAAACACGAGCTTTAGCTGCTCTTTTAATGCGACAAGAAACTCTTTCAGCACGAGAAATATGGCTTGTATTAGGCGATCGCCCTGTTATGACGAAGGAATTTCGAACTTATCTTGAAAGTTAAAAAAAAAAAAAAAA